ACCGCAAAAAAAAAAAAAAAAAATAGCCCAATTTAAAAAGTAGGCAAAAGATTTTTTAAAATTAATTTATTTATATATTTATTTTTGGCTGTATTGGATCTTTGTTGCTGTGCGCGGGCTTTCTCTAGTTGCGGCAAGCGGGAGCTACTCTTCATTGTGGTGCGCGGGCTTCTCTTTGCGGTGGCTTCTCTTGTTGCGGAGCACGGGCTCTAGGTGCGCGGGCTTCAGTAGTTGTGGCGCACGGACTTAGTTGCTCTGCGTCAGGTGGGATCTTCCCAGACCAGGGCTCGAACCCGTGTCCCCTGCCTTGGCAGGCGGATTCTCAACCACTGCGCTACCAGGGAAGCCCAGAATTGTACACTTTAAGAGGGTAAATTTATGGTATTTGAAATATATCTCAGGGAAGCTGTATTTTAAAAATACAGAGATTTAAAAAAATAATAATAAATTAAAAAAATAAAAATACAGAGATTATTCAGCCGCAAAAAAGAATGAAATCTTGCCATTTGCGACAACATGGATGGACCTTGAGAGCATTATCCTTAGTGAAATAAGTCAGATGAGAAAGACAAATACCGTGTGATCTCACTTACATGTGGAATCTAAAACAAAAACAAAAACAAAAACCATGTTTGTAGATACAGAGAACAGACCAGTGGTTGCCAGAGGCAAGGAGTGGGGAGTGGGTGAAATGGATGTAGAGGGTCAAAAGATACAAACTTACAGTTATAAAATAAATCAGTCATAGGGATGTAATGTACAGCATGTGACTATAGTTAATAATACTGTATTGCATATTTGAAAGTTGTTAAGAGAATAGATAAAGTTCTCATCACATGGAAGGGGGTCAAAAGTTATCAAAAAAAAATGCAGAGAGAATGGTTTAATAAAGCTCCATTACTCAGCTTCAACCATTATCAACTCATGGCCTATCTTGTTTCATCGATACCTCCACCCTGCCACCCTACCGCTACTCTCATGCTGGATTTTTTTTTTTTTTTGCAGTCCGCGGGCCTCTCACTGTTGTGGCATCTCCCATTGCGGAGCACAGGCTCCGGTCACGCAGGCTCAGCGGCCATGGCTCATGGGCCCAGCCACTCCGCGGCATGTGGGATCCTCCCAGACCAGGGCACGAACCCGTGTCCCCTGCATCAGCAGGCGGACTCTCAACCACTGCGCCCCCAGGGAAGCCCTTTTTTTTTTTTTTTTTTCATGCTGGATTATTTGAAAAGCAAATCCCAGATATCATTTCTTCTGCAAATATTCTGTATTTTTTCAGTAATCTTCAGTAGTATCTTTCCAAAAGATGGCTCTTTTAAAAAAAATAACACGATACCATTATCACATCCAAACAATTTTAAAGTAGTACCCTAAGATAATCAAATATTCTGTGTTCACATTCCCCCCAGTTGTCTCATAAATGTGATTTTTTTTAACGGCTGCTTTGTTCAAATCAAGATAACACACTACATATGGTTATTTGCCTCTTCTATTTCTGTGTATCTATAAACTCTCCTTCCTTTATTTTTCTTGCAATTTATTGAAGAACTGGGTTGTCATGTAGAGTTTCACACATTCTGGACTTTGTTGCTTGCATCACTGTGGTGTCATTTAATATGATCACTATTATATAGTGATTCACTTTTAGATGCAGCACCAGGGCTTTTATAGTGCTATTTATTACACTATACATAAGATAATTCATAGTTCATCAAGATAGTCACCACTCCTTTAGTGCTTACTAGACACCATATCCTTTGTAGCATACTTGACACAAATTATCTCATTTCATCTTCATAACAACCCCATGTGGTAAGTATTATTATCCCCAGCCTAGAGATGAAGAAAATGAGGCTTAGAAAGGTTAAAGAAACTTGGCCACAGTCAAGCAAGCAGTAAATATATGGGTTCGACCCAGGTCTGTCTGGATTGGAAACCACAATTTAACCATAGTTAAAACGCATACTTCTATCCATTATGTGATAATATCCCTATCCTTTGCCTGGGTTGTGGTTGTTGTTTGTTTTTATTAACTCTGGGAAGTAGTCCTTCAGTCCATCCAAAGAACTTACTTTCACATTTCATCTGCAACACTTAGGATTCTTTCAGTTTCAAGTAACAGAAAACTCCATCTCAAATGGGCTCAACAATAAGGATATTTATTATCTCATATAATAAATCCAGAAGTAGGGCAGCAGCAGGGCTGATTGGTTTACTGTCTCAAAAACAACATCACAGACCCAAGTTCATTCTATCTCTTTACTCTGCCGTCATCAGTGTTTTGTCTTAAGGCTGGATTCCCTAAGATGGCTATTCCAGTTTGAGGTAACACCGCCAGATGCAACAACATCCCATGGAGATGGTGGCATGTTTCCCTGTATGCCTCTATTTAAGAGCAAGAAAACCTTTCCTAGAAGGACTTCAGCTGACCCCTCCTCAGGCCTCACTTGCCAGAACTGGGTCACATGCCCACCCCTAATCTCTCAGTGGCCAGTCAAGAAGATTGTATTCCCCTTGCCCATGATAGGTTGGTATGGGATGGTAATAGGGTCAGGTTCCCTAATGGGTGAACACCTTTACAGGCTTCCGCAAAGAAGAAGGAAAAGGTGGGAATGGATGTTGAGTAGGCAAGCAACAGTATCTACTACGTGTTGCAAATAACGTATGCTACATATTCCATTGCAAATTTACTGTCGATGTATCAGCCTCCTCATTGCATGAAGAGGCTAGACAAGATGATCTGTAGGGTCCCTTCCAGCTCTAGGAGTTCTGTTTCAATTTTACATTTTCATATAAATGCGACTGGGACCGTTGGATAGCTTTTGTATCTCTGCTTTGGCTGCCACCTATGACTTTAACCTAAGAAATCATTTCTACACCTGCTTCATTTCACAATCTTCATCTGAAGCAGTGCTCCATTCATTTCATCACATGCAGACCTTTTCCTTTCAGGGAATAACAAGGAAGCCAATGAGAAAGATAGTACACCCCTAAGTATCTTTGCTATATCAAACCTTTGCTACATTTTCTTCAAATCTGAATAAAATTGCTTTATTATTTTCAGCTTATGCCTACCATCAGCTTTCTCCGAGGAAGCTACTAGCTTGACCTGTAAGCAGTCCTATTCTTATTTAACAGAAAGCTATAATTTGTGACAAATATACAACATAAAAAAGTCAGAGACATCTGGTCTGTTACATAGGATATTTGGAATAACAAACATATAGGAAAACTTGGGAATGTGATTTAAATTGATTTGGTCACACCTCCATTTAAGTTCACTCCTTCCCGCTCAGATTAGTCATTCTGGTGAGGAGGCCAAAACTGTAGCTCATTACTATAGTGTTGATAGTGGAAACAACACTGGTATCTCAATCAGCAGCTACTGTATGCCATTGTTCATCTTTATAGTTCCAAGAGCCTTTGAGAATTAATTTTATTTTCTGATTCAGCCCTCTTGCTGGGGAAGGTTTGGCCCTGTTTTGAAATGTACAAAGGAAAGAGAGTGCTGTGAGTGCCTCTTTGGGGAAGGTCAGGGCTGAAGGAGAGAAGATAGGCTTAATGACCAGCTGGATGACCGAATAACTCATATCACCTGTGTCTCTTAGAACTCTTAAGAAAATCCTCACTCTGCCTCTTACAGGGTTGTTGCAAAAATCAAGCTAGAACATGGATAGGAAAGTAGTTCCACAAATGCAAAGGCTACTATTTTCAAACATGGAATTCTCTGCGGCACTTTTTCTTTTTGGTCACATGATTACTGCACAGGTCATGCCAGATTATGATACTGTTTCACCTCCATTCACCCTTTGCCTATTTCAGAGATTATGCCAGCAATGGTGCATCCATCTCTTTGGTTCATTTTCCTTCCACCACATCTGGAAGATGCAAATCCCACCATAATGTGAAATATTGCCCTGAAAATATGCAGCAAGGGTTCAAAAAGGAGAGATATCACATCTGATTAGAAAACGTTTCTGTAAGGTAATCCTATTATGCCACATATTTTCATAATTTCAATCTTTGTCCAATGTTACCCCACCCCACTTCATGCTTCAGAGACGAGACAGTATTTTCTCTATTTTTGTAGTTCCCAAGAACCTGGCATAGAGGACACATCACAGTTTACACTCCGGATGAAGTGAGCCTGCTAAACGTGTGACAATAGCAAACCCGGCGGGTTGTAACATTTATTTATCTAGACCAACGAGGCCGACTATCTTTAGCTTAGCATTATACGTAGGGCTTTTGAGGCCGGAAGTGTGCCCGGGTCTCCCCTGCAACTCCCGAGGAAGGAACATTTATTGAGTACGTGCTAAGTGCCAGACACAGGTGCCTTCACATATGCACCCGTGCGTTTGTTGTACTAAAATGCGTTTAGTCCTCACAACATGTCTTCAAGCTTTAAGCCTACGTTACAGATAAGAATGCTAAGGCACAGAGAGGCTAAATTAGACAGCCTCTCCTCTAGTGACGCCACTGCATGTGCGTGGGCTCTCGAACATTCTCACCCACAACCCTTAGATCGGCCTCGCTACACCCCACCTCCCTACCCCCAGGCATGTGCCCCAGTTACTCCTCCCCACGCCCCGCCCTAGGCCGGCGTAAAGCCAATAAAACCTAAGGCAGGCCTGCTCTGTCTCTGAGCCGGCGTTAACAAGGCTTCCACTTAAAGATGCTCACTCACCCAACAGCTCCTCACAAGCTTGTACAGCCTTTGCCACCCACCCTATCCGTAGCCCCGAGCTTCTCCAAAGAGCCCGCACAGCTTGGTCCCAAGGCTGAGGTCCTCCTCGCCTGCACAGCGGTTACGGGGTCGGGACGCAGATTCTGGGCGAGCACACCTTCAGGGGAGGGGTGAGGAAGCCCGGGGTACAGCCAGTGGGCACGGGGTCCCGCCGCCGCACGCCGCCTCGAACTACGCTTCCCAGCCTGCTCCGCAGCAGCCGCGCGCCCCGGCGCCGCGCCGGGCCGGGAGCTGCCTGTTGATTGCCTCGCTCGCCCGGGCCACGGCGCCGCCCTGCTCGCCGGCCCCTCTACCGCGGGGCAGACGGACTGACTGCCAGCACCGCCGGCTCCGGGATGGGCGCGCTGACCGGTGAGCGCGCCGAGGGGTGGGTGGGGGCCCGCCCGGGCGAGGCGCCGTCCGCAGCCCCCGGCTCGCAGCGTGGGGCGGCCGCGCCCTCCCTGCCCTCGGGAGGATGCTCCGCGGCGTCGGCGTTCGGCCCGGCGGGCGCTCGAGGCCGGGGCCGCCTCTGGGCTCCTCGGCTCGACGGGCGGCTCAGGGCGGCGCGGAGGAGAGGGCGGCGCGGGCCGGAGGCGCCCGGCGGGTGTGGGTCCCACACCCTGCACTGCGGCTCCGCAGTCTCTGCAGCCCCCGGGCCGCCGCAGTGAGGGCGCGGTCTCTGTCCTCCCTGAACTGCGGGGCCGGGTTTTTCTACGCTGGGCTTTGTTCCCCATTTTATCCTCTCGTTAACGTTTAACAAGCTCCTGGAGCCTAATGCCTGTCACTGCAGCGTTAGAGCAGGCGACGGGGAAGGGTAGACTCCGGCCGGAGCTGTCACCCGCAGGGCGTTTCAGCCTCCGAGAAAGCAGCGTTCCGAGAGCGGCCTGATGCAGGTTCTCAGGACTCATTTTTTTTCTGGTTAAAGTAATGGTAGTATGTGCTCCCTTGAGTCTTCCAAAATTTTCCCTGTTGACCTGCAGAAATGAAAATTGATTTTTAATAATAATAGTAATAATGGCTCCTAAAGGGAATTTTTACTTAACGTTTTCAAAGGTGGGAAGGTGATGCGGGCAAAATGCAAATTAGCAATGAAGGAGGCTGTGAATGCTACGGGCTTCCTCTTGCCTACTAAACATCTGAATCACCAGGTCCTTGGGAAGGGAATGAAAAGAACATCGGAGAAGGTATTTATAAAACCCATTTCCAGCTCTACCATTAAGGAGCTGAGGTGCCCTGGACAAGTCCCTTCATCTCTCTTATCCTCTTTCTCCATGGTAAAACGGGGCATTCGGGTCACATGATTTCTAAACGTCTGTTCTTCCAAGACTCTCATTATCAGGGAACTGAGGAGATGAGGGTGCTGGTGTTCAACAACCATTACAAAAACCTGATTGTGACAGAGCAAGCGGCTTTACCTAGTGAGGAGGAAAGATTTTTCAGGGTTTAGGCAACCTGATTTTTTAAAAAATAAAACCAGTTTGCTCTATCTACTCTCTGCAGTCTAACCCAATAAATATGCATTATGACTTTTATTTTTTGTAAATTACTATAAATTGGTAGACAACAACAGGCTGTGGATGTTCCGTGTTTGTTTTTAATTTGTTGAAGGTGAAGTGATGGGATCAGCAGGTAAAGGGAGAAGCAAATGGCTCCCCGGTGCTGGGCAGAGTGGTCACCAAGGAGGAGGGGAGGAAACAGCAGCAAAAAGTAAGCAGAGAGTACAGACACTGAGGATAGAGAGGATGGGTATTGATGGGTCATTGTTTGAATAATAAATACACAATAGAAGGAATGAGAGAACCAGAAAAACCAGTGCTATGCAACCCTAATGTAACTGATTCAGGCAAGGATTCATCCAGGGGTACAAAACCTTTGAGCAAAAGGTTGTTGGGGAACAGGATTTTCACATTTTTTCAAAGTATCTTGGCATTTTTTCAAAGTATCTTGGTACAGATTACCTAGGGAAAATGTGTCCTTACAATGGAGAGATGAGGAAGTCATCACCTTAGCTGAATGATCAAGCTTACCAGCACCTACCATGCATCTCTTGTTGGGATGCAATAAGAAGGTCATAACTTCACGTGTGGTGTTCCGGCCAAAAAGACCGTGGGAATGGGATACTGTAGATTAAAATATTCAAGTGATAACCAATCAGGATGTGTGAACTTTGGATCCTAGATCAGAAAAAATAAATAAAAAATAGCTATAAACGATGAGTTGGGGACAATTGGAGAGATTTGAATACGGACTGCATATTAGGTAATATTATGGGATTACTTTTCATTTTCTTAGGTGCAGTGATGGTACTGTGATCATGTTGGACACTGTCTTTTTCTTTTGAGATGTGGGTATTTGAGGCACAGTGTCATGACGTCTGCAACTTTCAGCGGGTTCAGGGTGGAGGGGGATTTGAAGAGTTGGGGAGGACGCTCGAGAATGCAGCAAAGTGATGACAGCTGGTGAATTAAAGAGAGTGGCATACAGGTGTTTATTGTACTATTTTACGTTTTCTGTAGATTTGAACTTTTTAAATAAAAATTGAGGTGATCAATAAAATAGATAAGTAAACAAAGGAAAGGATTGTAGAGGACAGCGCGGTTAGTGACAGAAAAAAGCAGTGGATCCGCGGGGGACTCACAGTGAGTCTGTGGCTTCAAGTTCCCAAGATTTAAATCCTATTGGAGGTGGGAGTTGGGTCAGGGGAAGTTCTGTTTTTTGGTTTGTCTTGACTACTGTGAATCATTTATTCTTAAGACATCTCATCCCCTAACTCCAACCTTAAAGTATTAATAATTCCCAAACCTTAGAAATTCTAACCTTACTCAAGAACCATTCTGAAAGTGCTATCCCTATCCTCTCTCAGTTCAAGATCTGCACCGATGTGGCTCAAAGAGGCTCATAGAAGGCAGATGCAGAAGAGAACTATTACCTATTACCAGACCAAGAAAACAGAACCAATTCTTAAGATACAGCACTTAATTTTATACAGAACCTTTTGCTGTAAGGATGTTTTTCCTATACCTGAGATTTATATATATATATATATATATGCTTTTATGTTTTGCCCCCCTGTTTTGGCATCAAGGCTACCCCATCTCCTTCCTGTGTGTCGCCAGTATTCCTGGGTTTCCCTGGTGACGGCTGAGTAGAGTAGGAATGAGAAGGTCAGCTTTAGGACTGTGGGTAATAGGAGCTCATGAAACAAGGTGCAAGGCCAGCCATGCCGAGCCAGGACATGAGGAGTAAGGAGCCAATCTGAGGCACCAGCCCAATTAAAGAACCAGGAGGCCTCTTCTCAGAGAAGTGGGAGGGGTCTTGAGGCTAGGGAGCTAGGCTACTGTTCAGCCAGTATATACAGGGTCAGCCATCCCTGTCGTTTATAACTGACAACCATTCTGATAGGACAGTGCCCATTTCATACCAGTTAAATATTTTGCATATCATCTTGATAAGCAGTCATGAGTCAAGGTGCACATAGCACCTGTAAGTCATAACAAAGCTTTGATCAAAACCTAACTGGGGCGCTTCCCTGGTGGCGCAGTGGTTGAGAGTCCGCCTGCCGATGCAGGGGACACGGGTTCGTGCCCCAGTCTGGGAAGATCCCACATGCCGCAGAGCGGCTAGGCCCGTGAGCCATGGCCGCTGAGCCTGCATGTCCAGAGCCTGTGCTCTGCAATGGGAGAGGCCACAACAGTGAGAGGCCTGTGTACCGCAATTTGAGAAGAATCAGAGGACTCTGTTTTTTTTCTAACGAAGGATCCTACGGTCACTTAAAATCTTTATAACAATTTTTCAATTAAATTTCTAAAACCTTATCAGGAGTATGGCATCTTCAAGGGATGTAGATTTCACAGGAACTATACTCTACAAGCTTTGTAATATTTCAAATGACTTAGCCACAGTGATTAATTTACCCTTCCATTCTCTAAAAGGTAAGGGGGCGGTAGAACAAAAAAAAAAAAAAAAAAAAAAAAAAAAAAAAAAAAAAACCTAACTGGGATACAGATGCCAGAGAAGGAGAGAAGATAGATGGGTCAGAGATGCATAAGCAGGCAGAAAAGACAAAAAGTAGAGAACCCATAGTGCCAGTCAGGAAGTGAGAAGCCCATAACTTCCTGAAGCCAAGATGAGGGGACATGGCTAGAACCAATAGGCAGCTGAAAACCAAAAAGACCCAGACACCCATGTGGAAGGCAAGGAGTTAGAATTCAAGAAACAAGAACTCCTCAGAAAACAGAGAATAGGGCTAGACAAAGGGGTAGGGCAGTAGCAGGGAATAGGACCTGCCAAGATAATTAGAAACCAGGTGGCAGTCTGGGCAGACAGTGAGACTTCCATGCTAGAGCCCTTCTGCCCCCGCCAGGAAGCTTCTTGGCAACTTCCTGCCCAGGTGGAAACCTATCTCATACTTTGGCCAGCCTACCCATGGTGGCTTGCTACACCTGGCAGTGCTGACCCAGGGCTCCTATAGGGTGCTGCCTCTCCACGTTCAACAGATCCTGACAAGGTTAACAGAGGGAACCACCCTCTGAAATAAGTACTGCTCTTTGCCTGTTTTACAGAGGAAGGGACAGAGACTTGGAGAGGTTGTCACTCGCACATGGATCTGTAACCATCAGTTCAAGGGCTGGCTGACTCCAAGGCCTATGCTTTTTGTCTTCTGTGCTCTTCTGAACCTGGAGGGGGTGGTTACTGGTGGGCACATTGTTTTAAAAGGAGACAGTTTTCAAGCGCAGTTTGAGCTATGGCAACTTTTGCGTTGTAAGATTGGGAAGTTAAGAACAAATGATCTCAGAGACAAACTCTTCATTCTGTTAAGATCTGTTCCTCATTCCCCATTCAGCTTGCCCCTTCCAGTTGCCTTCTCATTTTTTGCCTGAAATTCCTCCTTATCACACCCCATTCTCTGTCCTGCATCGCCTGCAGATATTTCCCAGGATATGGCAGGAGCCATTTGGTTATTTAAAAAAAAAAAAACAGACTTGAATGGGCCATCTTCAAATAGCTAGATTCCAAAACACAGGCTATGTGTTTTGTACACATCTTTGTATTTTCCTGCAGCTAGAAAGGAATTAAATATATAGGATCAATTCCTGTTTTGTTGGAGGATATATTGATAAGCTGATTTTTTTCTAATTTACTAGTTTTAGAAAATGTAGATTTGGCTCTTGTGCAAACTGGTTCACTGATTGCTTAAAGATTACTATAAAATATTGAAGATATATAATAAAGAGAATAATAACTTCTCACTTACTGACTACCCCTCTTGGGACTAAATCATCATCAGTGCAGTGGAAGCCCAAGTCCTCCTTCCCCAATTAACTCCCCCTCCCCTCGCTACGTGGTGTCTGTCTTTTCCATGTGCAGTCCTT